GGGGGGGGGGGGGGGGGGGGGGGGGGGGGGGGGGGGGCTGGGAACATACCCTTAAAATTTCAGCCCCCAGCTTTCTTATTTCCCGTGTCAACCATTTTTCCGCCAAAAATTTTTATGCAGCCATACGTGAGAATCACGCACGCCTGGGTGCTGAATTTGACAAATTTTTGTTGTACAAGTAGTGCGAACATTCCCTGAAATTTTCAGCCTCCTATCTTACCTGTTTCCCGAGCTAGCCATTTTCCTGCCAAAAAATTTCACAGGGCCGTATGTAAAAATCACGCATGCCTGGGGCTGAATTCGATAAATTTATGTTGTACATGTGCTGCGAACATTGCCTGAAAATTTCAGCCTCCCAGCTTTTCCGGTTCCCAAGTTAGCGATTTTCGCGCCAGGGATCCTCACGGGGCCATAAGCGGGTACCACGAACATCTGGAAGCTGAATCTTTGAGTTCTATTTGGGCGAGGAACATAACCTCAAAATTCCAGCTTTCTAGCTTTTCTGATTCCCCGCCAAAACTTTCACTCTCTCGTGCGCGAAGCCCAGACGTGCATGACGGTTGGTATCGCGGTCCTCGGGTGGCACTTGGCCGGAGAACCCACTCGCAAAATTTTGGCGCCGGAGCTTGCTTGGGTGCCGAGTTGAAATATCCGGACACACACACACACACACGGGCGTCCTCACAATACTCGTTTTTGCATTCGCATAGAAGCAAAAACGCATAAAAACGGGTATTTACTAGAACATGGCTCGGCTGGATTCATACACGATCTGCGGCGGATTCTTTCGGGTTCATCACTCGGCTGCGGCATAGAACGTTAGATGCTCCAGATGGGGTGGTATTGGAAGGGGCTTTGTGTGCGGGTTCCGGGTGCGGGGATTGGAAGTAGGAAGAGAAGGTTGGCAGGGTGGATTGTGGCGTGGCCACGTAAAGGGGACGGGGGAGAGGTGATGGGTGGAAAAGAGGAGGAGCCGTGCTGCTGATTTTTGCCGTTGATACGCGGAGAACGGAAAAGGCTCGGGAGGAGGTACACTGCAAAGAGCACAGGAGGGGCAAGGAGGGTTGGCAATGCATAAGCATATTTTTTGGGTGTGGGATTCGAGACACGGGGAGGGGTTGTGGTGGGTGTGGGGGGGTGATACGTGCGGATTCCGCGCGCGGGGATTCAAGGCAGAGAAGGGGAGTCGGAGTGGATGGATGAAAAGGTCACGTGGCGTAGATCCCTTGGCAGTTGCCTCGGTCACGTAAGAAGGAGGAGAAGTGGTAATAAGTGGAAAGGAGGGGAGCAAGAAAAAAGTAAAAGCAAGAACGAAGGCAAAAGCAAGAAAAGTAAATGACAAACCGCTGCCAATAAGGAACTTCCCCATCTATAAAGCTGATGCTTAGGTAAAGCTGAAAGAAAATAAGGTGAAGCTGGTGCTTAAGTAAAGTTGAGAGCTCTCAGCTTTAACTAAGCATCAGATTCACAAATACGGAAGCCCCCTACTGGAGATCAGCTTTCAGCAAACGAAAAACTTGTTATCAGCAAAGGATTTCCCCATTTATGATGCTGATGCATAGGTGGAGAAAAACCGAATAGCTGATGCTTAGGTAAAGCTTAGAACTCTCAGCTTTACTGAAGCATCAGCTTCGTAATTAAGCTTGTTCCCCTCCTTTGTCCTGTTCCCAGTCCTTGCCTGCAGAGCCAACTGCTATCACCACTGGTCGTTCCATAATTCTCACTAGCCCCCTTGGCCCTCCTGTCTACCCTGCCTTAATCCGTGCGCGCTGAGCTGTATCCGGGCCCTTATGAATCAACTTCCCCATCATCCGCGTGCAAACCCCAAAGCACGTGACCTGATAGCGAACGCCGGGCATCGCTAGTCAGTACACCCGGCAAACTGCCAAGCGGTGCCGACGAGATTCACCAGGAATTAGCGTTAGCGGAGATGCAGAGTAATAGCTGAGCCGTGTTTTAATAACTGCTTTAAAACGCATAAAAATGAGGAGCTGAGTCGTGTTGAACGACTGGGTCTTAAACTCGTCTAGTTTTAAACTCTGTGCGGGATTGGGAAAACGTTCTTTTCTCCAGCTAGCAACCCAGATTGGAACGCACCAGGCGGGCCCATGCGACCACGCGTTTTTGCACCGGACTTAAAGTACTTAGGTCATTAACTGCATTTATGGCTGTTGCTTTACACCTCTCTTCTGCTATCCTAGCATAAATGACCATTAATTTTGCAAAATAAGTATACAATTTCCATTTAACAGTCGTTCTTTAAAAGTAACCTAGTTGTTCAGTGAGAAATTTCTCCGCCGAGAGTTTTAAGTGCCCGTACGTAAGAACCACGCATACCTCAAGGCTGAATTTGAAATACTTAAGTTGTAC